CCTTCTTTTTCTTTTTCTTTTTCTTTTTTTTTCTTTTTTTTTTTTGTTCCTCGTAAAATCCCATACGTCTATATTTTTATTCTGCGAAAATCGTGATTCAACTTTTCCAATGGGATACTAATTGTCCTGTCAATTTATATGAAAGAATGTATTGAACGACATTTAATGCGACATTTAATACAACATTTAATATGATGGCATAATCGGATGAAATAAATGAAAATTGAGATATACAGGGAGAACATTTATAGAATTAATCTTATTTTAGTGTACTTTTGTTCCCTTTTTTTTTCTTTCTTTCTCGTTTCTTCTTTTTTTTTTCTTTTCTTTTTTTTTCCTTTACAAATACGTATTATAAAAATATGTAGATGCAATTGAGATGAAATATATTGATCAATATATAATAGATACATAATAATAATAATCCGAATAAACGAGTTTATTTTTATGTCAATATAAAAATATATTTATTTCTCTGTCGTAAAATATTTCGTATTCATATTATATATGTTTGGTAATGATAATAAAAATAAAATCAGTATCATTCTCTAAATCATACCATAGCGAAATATTTTAAATCATATAAATATATTTGTACGAAATATCATTCCAACATTATTTTTCTAATAAGAATTATCGTTATTATGTTAACACATTAATAAGAAAATAATAATATTTAATAATAACTATTATTATTATATATTCAAATATTTTCCTTTTCTTCATTGATAATAGATTCGACATAACCATTCCATAATTAAATCTTTTATTATTTCCATTCACTAATTTATTATTTTAAAAAAAAAAATTATACGAGTTATGAAATTGATTCCATAAATTTTAACCCTTACATTGTATCATAAAAATGTTTATAACAAATTAATTTATTTAAGAAAGAAAAAGGTTGAAATATACGATAATAAATGTCCTCTTCTAAATCAAGCAATAATTTCCGAAATAAACTTAAAAATTTCTATCAAATAAAATATATAATATAAAATTATATTTATATTCATGCACAGACACACACACACACACACACACACATATATATATATATATTATTCGCAATATTGTCAAATATATTTTATTATGTAATACACTTCTAAACGAAAAAAAAGAAACTTGAATATCGATTTTGAAACGATAAAACGATTCAATGTTATTCATCAAAAAAAAAAAATTCATCGATCAAAGATACGATTCCTTTCAACGTTTCCTTCGACACGAAAAGAAAGATAATTTTGAGAAGAACCCGTGAGCTTTTGGATATTCATCCTTGTGGAAAAAGGATCTATGAAAATTCGAAGGCAATACGCCGCATATCTGACTCTGACATTGTTACTGCCAGTGAGTAAAGGACGACCGTACACGATAGGAAAAATGTGTGATTTAGGGAGATATTACGACAGAGAAAGAGAAAGAAAGAGAGAGAGAGAGAGAGAGAGAGAGAAAGGGAGAAAAAGAAAAGCTGATAAACGAAGAAGCAGTCTAGTAGGTCGGTCAAACAGACAAAGGAAATGTGCCAGTGGAGAAGAGAAACCGAAGAAATAGACGAAATAAGAAGACTAAGAGAGAAAGAGAAAGAGAGACAGAAAGAAATAGCAAAACAAGAGAAAATATGTGTATAAGAGAGAGAGAAAAAGATTCTATAATACACGGAGCAATCGACGTAACCTACATTTCGACGAGCCAAGCTTGGTCGCGTCTGTAGATTTCATCCATCTACTCGTTTGCCCAACGAAATAATAAATTTCATGCGTTGCGAGGATCGTTGTTGAAAAAGGAAATTTTTTTTTGTTTATCTTTCTCTATCTCTATCTCTCTCTCTCTCTCTCTCTCTCTCTCTCTCTCTCTCTCTTCCACGCTCTCTCTCCCACTCTCTCTTTGAAACTATAATATACATATACACACACACATATATATATATATATATATATATATATTTCATACACTGTATATCATATAGCTTCGGGGAATTCTTTCAGCCATGGATGCCGTAAATAAACACAATAAAAAAAAAAGAAAAAATTCATATAAACATTAGCCCTTATTTGACCCAATTTACATGTTACAATGAGTTTTTTAATTGAAATAATTTATCAATCGAAGAATCAAAATAATCGAATTAATAACATTTATTTATTTATTTATTTATAAAACAAAGCTCAATAATTGTCATCGGACCAAATGATTCTTTATTAGATTTGGAAGGTCATTTGAGATCGATAAGTCCGTGTAAAAAATAATTTGTTCGAAACAACGTCGAAATAAATATTTCGTTTAGATTAATTGAATAAGGTTTCTCTCATGCCCGATGAGAAATGGCGAGAATGTTAAGAAGAAGAATGGTCGTCGGTCAACGGTAAAATATCTACTACGGATGTTTGTATTCAGATGCAAGGAGGTCATTTTGTATGCCTCTTGTGAACGTAAGCAGATACATACCGTGTTAAAGAAGAAACTCAATATAACTAGGAAACAAGGTCAAACAGGGAATATGTTTATATGAACTTTTTTTTTTGTTTTGTTTTGTTTTGTTTTATTGTTCTCATGTGCGAAATCCAACGCAGAAGCAATTCCCCGAAGCTACGGAACATATTCTGCAAATGTAGATAAAACTATATATACTGTATATTATATATTGTATATAAATAATAGCTATAATATACATATATATATATATATTAAATTTTAACTACCGTCAAAATTTCTTATTCTCAAATGAGTCAAAATGTAGAAATAATAAAATGTTTAATGACACGTAAAAAGGATTGATATATTCTGATGATATCATTAAATGGTTCAGTTCAACGACGGAAGGAACTTTGAAAGAGAACAAATTGACGATAGTAATGCTGTGTAATCAAGAAGCAATTAAATTCCACATGCATCAGGAAATATTCTCGACAAGATTGACGTTCTCTTGCATAACCCCTCTTTTCCTCACCCTATACTCATCACTATCGTTTCTCTCTCCCTCTCTCTTCCTCTCTCTTTGTTTCTGTTAAAAGGGCGATCGTTGCAATGACAAGCTATAAGGGAAATCGAAAGTACGGCTTACCACGATCTTGTTTACCGAGAAAACAAATCCAGTGGAAAAAAAAAGGAGACCCAGGTTAGATCGAGATTACAAGGTTAAACTTTAAACAACGATTTTTTACCCTTATTTCCATCATCCATCCCCCTCTCTCTCTTTCTCTCTTTCTCTCTTTCTCTCTTTCTCTTTCTATTTGCTTCTATGTTACTCGATAACTAGGACGAAACAAAGTAGATTATTTCTTCCGATAACTATGTAAGAAGACATGTCGTTGAAAATGCAAGAATCTCAATAGAAATAGAATACATTTTTCTTTATATTAATAATAATGGAAAGCTTTTCCGGTCGTTTTTCATCCTTTGTAAAATTCTTATCAATCTTATTAAATATTCACGTTATCATCGATATGCTGTATTTAAATTGTATTTTATATAGAACGGTTTAACTCTTACTGAAGAAAAAGAAGAAATAGAAGAAAAAAGAAAAGAAAAAAAAGAAAATGTTAAAAGAATTATAAGCTAATATTACTTTATGAAAAATCTATGTATAAGGTTAATACACCCTGTCAAAAGTTCGAAACTACCTTCCATGAACTTATCGAGAATCGATGATGACCTAAGATCGAATACGTTCGAAGTATATACATGTGGACCAAGTAAAGAAGAATAAATGCAAATCTCGAGTTTCTTTACGTAACGTGATATGAATTTTATCGCTTCCCATATGGAAATATTAGAACAGTGACCGAAAAGAAGACAAAGAATAAGAGAGAGTGGATACTCGAGAGATTGTATTTACAGATTTTGCTGTATTTCAATGATATATGGATTTACCTTTTCAAAATGTCTTCTTGTATTTGTAAATCGAAGATAGAAAAGAGAACAATAAAAAGCAAAGATGAAAAGTAAAATCTCAAAATCGATCGATCTTTCACTTTCTCTGTCTTTTTAGTTTTTCTTTTTTCTTTTCTTCTTTTTTTTTTTTTTTTTTTTTTTTTCTTATTTTTTTCCTCGCACATGAAATACAAAAATATTCATCCTATCCTTTCTTGAAACAATTCGTTCAACATGAAAAATTAAAGATATAATAATTTATGATCAAAAAAAAAAAAATAGAAAAAAATATAGCAAAGCAAAAATGGGGAAAAAAAAAGAGAGAGAAAAAAATAAATAAATAATGAGAAGAAAAAATAAAAGATAAATAATAGAAAAAAAGCTCATTGACATATATATATATATATATATATATATATATATATATGTATACACATACATAGGTAGGTACATATGCACATATGTACGTGAGTTTTAACTTCAATCAGAAATTAACGATCGAATTCCTTCATTAACGCGTATATACAAATTCTAACTAGTCGGCAGTGCTACCGTACATTGAATTTGTCGACGTAGCGCATCTAAATTGTCAACCCGTTGTCGTTCGCAACTTGTTTAGTAAATTAAACTTTAATACCTTGTCGTAAGCTCATCAATAAAGGCTTACGAATAATCATTAGATCGGAATTTCAACCTTTATTCTCTATATTATATTCAATCATTTTACTTTAATAATAATAATAATAATAATAATAATAATAATAATAATAATAATAATAATAATAATAATAATAATAATAATATTAACAACAACGACAATAAAATCATTAAATTTGGACATTAAATTTCTTTCAACGTGTACAATATTTAATTGATTGATAAGTAATTGATGCAAAAAAAAAAGAAAAAAGAAAAAAAATAGAAGAAAAAAAAAAGGAACAAAGAGATGCAATGGGTATAATCGAACAAGATAAAAAAAAAAAAGAGAAAAAAAAAAGGATGTTACAACGACAAATCGTCGATGCAAATTGGAGGTCGAAAAAAAAGAAAAAAGAGAAAAAGAAAAAGAAAAATCGTATAACGAGATTAACAAAGCGTAAAAACGAAATGATCGAGTAATTACTCACCTTTTTTGGTGAAAAAAAGCGTACGAGCAGCGGCCTAACGAGTGATGAGATCCTAACGCGAATTTGGAAGCGACAATATTTATTTTTTTCCTCTTTCTCTCTCTCTCTCTCTCTCTCTCTCTCTCTCTGTCTCTCTCTCTCTCTGTCTCTCTCTCTCTCTGTCTCTCTCTCTCTTTCTGCAATTTTAACGCTGCCGCGAACCGCTCGAACAAAATAAAAAATAAAACGGAATATGAAAAAAAATATGCGTGAGTACTTGGACGTGTATATATATATATATATGTATAGATATATATATATATGAAAGATAAAGAGAAAGAGATCGATCTAATAAAACAAACTCCTTAATTTTATTTGTCGTCGTAATTGTCGTCGTCATTCTCGTCGTGCGTTTTTGTCGATACAATTTGTACAGTTCTATTGCAAAAATGAACATTCAACTTCTTCGATCGTTATTGTCGTTATTCTCTCGTGATTTTACATCGATATATTAATTTTTATTGAATTTCAAAAACAATTTTTATCTCTCCCTCTCCCTCTCTCTAACTCTCTCTCTTTCTCTCTATCCTTTGTAAAATTTGTCGACAAAACAAATATCGCGTAGTAATGAATTTCACAATTTTTACAATATTACAAAGCACAGTGTCGATTGATAACTATAACGGAATGGGTCATCAAAGTTATCTTTAATAATTACAAATAAAACAATTAATTGCTTCTATATATAACTTATAATAAAAAGAAAAAAAAAAAAAAATAAATAAAAAGAAAAAAAAGGAAAACTTTTCAATGAATTTTAACAATCAATTGAATTACAAATTGAAAAAAGAGATATCCTTAAAAATAATTACTTTTCATAGTAGCTCGATTTATTAACATCACCTTCTCGATTATTATACTATACGTTTAAATATAAAATAATTCGAATTTATATTAAAAATTCTACAAATCTCCCGATATTTTTCTATTAATATAAATATACATATTTAAACGTATATATGTATGTATCTATGTATGTATGTATGTATGTGTGTATATATGTATGTACGTATATATGTATGTATGTTTGGATGTACGTTTAAGAAAGAAATGGAAGAAAGAGAAGAAAAATGTTAGAAGAAATATGGGTTATATACTTTTGCAACGGTACGAAAGGGGCTTTAAGAGGGTGAGTCAGATGTTGAAGTTGGAAGAAGAAGGAAGAAGAAAGAGGAAGAGGAAGAGAAAACTTAGGATAGGGAAAGTACGTTAAACAACAGTTGGTGTGAGAGAGTAGGAGAAAGAGGCAGATAGTGAGGGAGAAAGAAAAAGATAGAGATAGAGAGAGAGAGAGAGAGAGAGAGGCACATATATACAGAGGAAAAGGAAGAAGAAATAAAAGTAAAAATGGATGAACAGAAAGCACGCTACAAAAGCTTTTTACAAGCTCCCTTTTACTATTTCCTTCCCCTCCGACTCTCTCCCTCACCCTCTCTCTCTCTTTTTCTCTATCTATCTATCTATCTATCTATCTATCTATCTATCTATCTATCTATCTATCTATCTATCTATCTATATATCTATATTTCTATCTTTATCTCTCGCTCATTCTATCTTTCTTTCTGGTTTCTCTCGAAGAAGAGAATCACCTTTCATGGACAACATTGTCCTTGCGCGAGAGATAGGTTAAATGTATTTCCGAGCACTTTCGATGGAAATTGGATGTCCGGTGAACCTAAAAAAAAAAAAAAAGGGATAGGACTAGAAAACGCAAGTCGAGAGATATATACACATTCTCTCTCTCTCTCTCTCTCTCTCTCTCTTTTTCTTCTGTCTCTCTTCTTTTCTTAGAATATTTGTTTTCGTTCTCATTCTGTCTTCGACTATACGAACACAGTGAAGAAGTTATCGAGATTGTGCATTTTTACGAGAAACCTATGCGCGAGATAGTTTCAAAAGAATTCGATTATTGGTGGAAATTGGTTTTCTTGCCTTTTCCTATTTTTCTTATTTTTTTTTTCTTCTTCTTTTTTTTTTCTTTTGTTTTTTTTTTAATTCATTTCTCCTTACACCGCCTTCTACATCGTGAGATTGCCACGAAAGAGGCGAAAAAAAAAAGAACTAACAGATGAGATTCTCGCGAAAGGATCATCAATCCTTCTTTGCTTCTTTTTTTTCCTTTTTTTATCTTGTTTTTTCTTTTTCACTTTTCTTTTGTTTTTTTTTTTTTTTCTTTTTTATTTATTTATTTATTATATCATAAGACGGACAATTTACGAAATGAAAATTGTGTAATCTTACAAATGAACCAAAAAGAAATAAAAAGATTAAACGTGTTGTGTTCGCATCAATAAGACACGATTGGCTTATCGCGGCTTTCGACTGGCTTATCGACTTTCGACGAGGTCAACAGAGGTCCTTTCAAATACCAATCCGAACAACGTACGCTTTAGTATGTTAACCCCCTTTACGAAACGTCGTCGTAGAAATCGATAGGAGAATTGCGTAAAATCTTTTATACACACACATTATATTTATATTTATATATATATATATATATATATATATATATATATATTTCTTTGAAAGCTGTGAAGAATAAGAACATAAAGAAATGAGAAAAAAAATGAAATGATAAGTAAGAGTTTTATATCCGTGCGTGTTCTCAAATACAAGGACTTTCCTTTCGTGAGATACGTGACTTATTTTTCCTTGATTTCATCTACGTGTACATATAAATCTATGTACGTACCTATGTATTATGTTACACTAATAATAAATTTGTCCATAAATATTTAAAAAAAAAATTAATATTTGAATTTTTATATCAAACGCTATTTGAAATGTTTCTACATTATTTGTATCTACATTAAATACTATATTTATATTATTATAATTTTATGATACTTTAACTCTAAAAAAAAATCAAAATTATTCAATCAATGATTTGTACAAATAATTATACATACATATATACATATATATGTAGAGTAACTGTATATATGTATGTGTGTATGTCTGTGTGTGTGTGTGTGTTTTTATTTATTTGTGTAGTAATTCAATATATATAATACGTGAATGCAAATATGCAAAATCGAGTGTGCAAAATACGTCAAACTATTAAATGTACGTGTTACTTAAACTAAATGTTGCTTTGATATAAAGACAGAGAGAGAGAGAGAGAGAGAGAGAGAGAGAGAGAGAGAGAGAGAGGGAGAGAGAGAGAGAGTAAGATAAATTGCGGAAACGAAGTTGGAAGGAATGCAAGGGTGTGAAGGAATGTACTTTAAGGAATAAATTTCTAAATTTGCCAGTGGCATGGTTTAAATTTGAAACTCTGTTTAACTTCAACTTTCCTAACGGCCGCTCGACTATTAGATTTCAATTTATGGCACGCGTGACATTAAAGAAGTTGTTCCTTCGTTAAATTCGGAACAACCGATAGTGCGTATATACGTCTGGACTTTCGTGAACATGTATTTCTAAAGGAGAGAGAGAGAGAGAGAGAGAGAAAGTTAGGACGAAGTGAATCTAATAATTCATAGGATCGCATAGAAATGTAGATATTATCCAGCTCCTAAATCCTGAATATGTTCGTACTGGTATACATATGTATAGAATTATTAAATAACGTACGCGTATGCTACGTTGATTTATAATGCAACGTTAACAAATAAAACATGAGAAATTAATTTTAATATATATAAAAGAAGAATATATTATATTTCGTTATACATAAAAATTTATGTGATGTGAAAAATGGGAAATACGTATATTCTTATTTTTAGTATTATAAAATCAATGTTTTCTAGACGCAAATATGTTATACAAAAATATGGATTCGATCTTATCGGACATACAAACGTCATGATTAAAAAATAACGTTAGAAATTAATAGAGGATCGCGTGTGGTTATTGTTTATTATGAGAGTATGAAAATGTCGGATATATTATTCATAATCAGAGAAAAGATACGGGACGAGTTATAAACGTATAAATCAAATATTTAGAGCACGAAGGAGAGGATTAACGAGCGCGCGAAAAAAGAAAAGGGGAAAAGAGAATAAAGAAAAGAGAAAAAAAAAAAAAAAGAAAAAAAAGAAAAAGAAAAAAGGAAAAAAAAATTTTTTTTTTAAAGTAAAACGAAGATAATATAAGAGGCACGTGAAAGGAAAGAAGAACAAAAAGAAAAGGGAAAGGAAAGCGTCTCGTTGGACGAAGTAATGCTTTAAGAAGAAAGAAGAGAAAAAAAGCAAAAAATCTTTCTGACGATGATCGAAAATAGAAAGTTGAGATAAGAAGAAACAAACAAAAAAAAAAAAGAAGAAGAAGAGTAAAAGAAAGAGATAAAAAGACTTTAAAAAGAGAACGGTGTTAAATAAAAAAAATTATGGTAACTTCAAGAATGACGAATCATGGACTACGGTTGGTCACGCTCACGAGGAACGATGACATCCTAATTACAGAGTGACGAAAATAAAGAGACTCGAAAAAATTGCGTCCGTTGAAAATAGCAAGAGAGAAGAAAAAAGGAAAAAAAAAGAAAGAAAGAAAGAAAGAAAAAAACGATAGAGAGAGAGAGAGAGAGAGAGAGAGAGAGAGAGAGAGAGAGAGTTAAAGATAAAATAAACTAATTAACATCTGTTCTACTACAATAACTGAATCGGATAGGCCGAATTTCAGTTTTAAACTTTTGTAGAGAATCTCACCCTGTGTTAATGAGAGAGAAACGAATATAAACAAGACAAATTTATTGTTTAAAAAGCACCATGCGAACCGGCAAGAAAAAAAAAAAAGGGAAAGAGAAAGAGAGCGAGAAAGTGAGAAAGCGAGAGAGAAAAGAGAGAGAAAGCGAAAGAGAGATGAAAGAGAATACAACTGACACACGATGATTAGCGTGAGCTTTCTGTGTACAAAAGAGAAAGAGAAAATAAAAAAAAGGTTGGTTAAAAAAAAAAAAAAAAAAAAACAGTGATAGAAAAAGGGATAGAGAAGAATTGTCGAAAAAGCGAGATAAAAAGAGAGAGAAAGAGAAAGAGAGAGAGAGAGAGAGAGAGAGAGAGAGAGAGAGAGAGACAGAATGAGAGAGAGAGAGAGAGAGAGCAAGTAATAGATAGAGAGAAAAAGTATAAAGAAACAAAAGGCACGGCACACACTGGATAAAAATCGAAGAGACACGATGAAGTTCTTTTTTCGCGCGTAGTAGTAAGGTGTACCTAAGGGCTCGACAGCACGGAGACTACCTCTCGCTTTCGCACCCCACGAATAACTGCCGCGAAATACAAGAGAAGGACGCTGATGTCAGGGGGAAAGAGAAAGATAGAGGGAGGGAGAAAGAGAGAGAGAGGGAGGGAGAGAAAGAGAGAGAGAAAAAGTGAGAGAGAGAGAGAGAGAGAGAGAAAGAGAGGATAGTAAGCGCTTGCGCCCTTCTTCGCAGGTTCAAACTACCACCACTACTACAACCAATACCACTACTATCATCACCACCACTACTTACTACTTCTACTATTACTATTACTACGACTACTACTACTACTTCTACTATTACTATTACTACGACTACTACTACTACTTCTACTATTACTATTACTACGACTACTACTACTACTATTACTACTACCACTAATATCGTCATTGGTATCAACCTCGTAGGTGCCGTTGTCTTCACTGCTGTTGCCACTGTTACTACTACTGGGTTTGATATTGAAGAGAGAAAGAGAAACGGAGAGAGGAATTGTGGGGCGGGGGGAGGGGAAGTAAGAGAGAGGGAATTAGAAAGAAAGAAAGAAAGAGAGATAGAGAGAGAGAGAGAGAACGGGAGAGGGCAGTGGGCCACTCGAAAGCATTAAGCACAAAAGCCTTTTAACTACCTGCCATATCACAGATCCTACTGACATCTATTTAGTTCCAATGTGATTGAGAATTTCTCTCTATCGAGCTATTCTAAATTTGCAATCTTCCTTTTGATCCGTATAGAAGGGAACTTCGTTTAATAATTGACGATGACGAAGACAACGACAACGACTACGACGGTGATAATCATAACGATAACGACAACGACGACGACGACGAGGACGACGACGACGAGGACGACGACGACGACGACGACAAAGTTGGACGATGTCTTTGAATTATTATTTATTAACGTTTTATCCCATCTCGGGGCTTCCTCGATACTTACTATTTATGTATCTCAAGCAGAAATGTGAAAACGTATCAAGCTGGTATCGCCAAAAGAGATATAAAAGTATTTAATCTCGACAAAGTCGAGATATTGAGACTTAGATTTGGTTTACGATCGATTTAGTTTGATCTCTTTTTCTAATACACACACACACACACATACAGACAAACACGCGAATGAATGACTTTTATCGAATAAATGTAGAAAAAGAAAAATCATATCATTTCCAATGGACGACTTAATATTACAAAAAATATCTATGAGTATATATATATATATATATATATATATATGATATTATTTTTTAACTTGTTAAAAGATAAATAAAATTGTAAGATAGGATAAATAAATAAATAATATATACAACAGTATAAATAAATATGATTTGAAAATAAATTTCTAACCAAAACATTCTTTGAAATGAATGAATGATAGAATCAATGAATGAGTATGTATATACATACATACATATATATACATATATGTATATATTTATATATATATATTTGTATTTTGATTAAATGAATTTTTGGTTCAGCTAGAATATTAATGATATTTCATTTCAACAAAGATATTAATCTATTTTTCTTAAGAAACGTCGAAATATTTATTATAATATTGAATATAATATTACAACTGATTTTATTAACGTTGTAATATTATATTCAATATTTTAGAATCAATATTTTAGAATCATAATTTGTACTTTATTAAATATATATATATATATATATATATATATATATATTAAATATTGCCTATCAATCTATTATATAATCTATCAAATTTTCATTTCTCATACCTATAGAATTTGATATATTTTCTTTTTACAATGAAACTGGTCGCATTTTCGATACTACTGAAATATCGACATACCAGAAACAACAATATTGTATTACACTAAAGTCCCTACGGTCTTTTAAACTTTTGATCGCTTTCGATGGATATCCAGTACAAGCTGGATGATGGAAGACTCGTTACGGAGATTAAAAGGTCGATTTGCAAGATCAGCAGAAAAAAAAAAAGAACCGAGTCATACAAAAGATCGTTCGTTCTCTTCGACGTCAAAGTACATCGTAAGCGAGGACGCACACGCGTATATGTATGTATGTATGTGTGTGTGCGTGTGTGTGTGTGTGTGTGTATGTGTGTGTGTATATATGTGTATGCATTTATGCATTTCGAACGAAAAGGATTCGTTTCATTTCTAAAAAACGAACGAAAAAGTGAAAAATTACAGTTATATCTATATATCGTTCTTGTTTAATCTACAATTCGAAAAATAGAATATATTTCTTTTCTATCTTTTCTTTTTCCCCTTTGAAAAAAAATTTGCCCTTTTTTTCCAATGTTTTTCGATTATTACGATATTTTCGAGAATTAAGGTTGTCGAATTCATTTCGTATGAATTAAAGTTTGCGATAAATACGCGATCAGGCTCGATATCTTATTTCCTTTATTCCTTCCTTCATTTCTCTGTCTATATGTCTTTCTCTTTTTCCACAAATTACAAAAATGTATACTTTTCCTTCTAGGTCATCGGTTAAAACGAGAAAAGTTCAACATTTCAACGTTACCTTTAGAGTTTACCCGATACTTTCTTACTTTCGAACTTATCGAAAAGTTAAGTATGCATATGGTGTAGTAATGTACATTTATGCATGTGTGTATGTGTATATATATATATATATATATATATATATATATATATACGTGCCATATTCTTGTAATAGTAATACTCTCTATCGTAGATATAGATTATAATGCAATGAAAAAGCAAACTGTTCGATAAAAGATAACGAATGAATTGTTTGATTTTACAGAATGACATTATGTTTCTATTTCTATTTCTTTATCTTTGTTTTTGCACCTTTCCATCGAATGATGTCGATGACAGATATTTTCATCATTCGTTAATTAAAGTTTCCGAATTGGAAACAATTATGTATTACGTAAACAAACGATACAACATTATAGAGTAATTTCAAAGTAAATAGTGTTAAAGCTCGGTTATACATATAGCAACTGAAAAATATATACCTTTCAAACAATGGATATACGCTAATTGTCATAATCGAATGTATTATTATTTTTTCATCATCTTTTGATCTTTCTTTATTTTACGAAAAAATTATTTATTCGATCCAAATCAAAAAAGATATTTAATAAATTTCATTTTTTGTATTAAAGAAGAATAACACCGGAATCTTTTCATCGCAAAGAGTAATTCGCGTAATTGAAATCATTTCGATATCTTTGTAAATATTAACTCCAATGAAAAAGTTTGAGATGTATGTTGTATTATTTAGATGGTACTACATATAACGTAGTATGTATTTATTTATTTTGCTTTAATTGCTTACAGTTTTTTGTTTTTTTTTTTTTCAAGATATGAAGATACCTTCTAATTCTTTAAATGGAGTTCAATGATTTTTATTCCATAATAAAATTGTATAGATAATATTGTGACAAGTATTCAATCATATTAAATATTACATCTTTGAGATTATCTTTAATTGACTTATTTTAATTTTATTATTTAACATTGCAAAAAGAAAAAAGAAAACAAAATAAATAGAAAGACTGTTCAAAAGGATTAATTATATATATATATATATATAAGAAATTAATAAAAAAAATTACAACGAGGATTTTTCTATAGGTCCACGATAATATTTTCATTCATTTTATCCGTCTTATCAATAAAATCAATCGAGTTTTATATTGTAATAAAAGCGAAATAAACTACAAGCAATAAAAATGTTATTATATGTTTTTCAATTACACGAAATATTCAATTACACAAATAACCCTTCTATTTTACGAACTAAACGATTCTTCCATCTCATCGAAATTACAATATTATTCCTTAAATGTATTATAAAATATAGATATTTTCATATGGCTATTAAACTGGGCTTAATTTTCGATTAAAATGCTCATATATGTAAATATATATTGTATGTGTGTATCTGTGCAATGTATATCGAATCTGAATCTACACCGCATTACTATTTCCGTTTCTATTTCCCCTTGGAATCTTAAAAGTTAACTGCGAAGCGATAAGAAAAAAATGAAAAAAGTTAAAAAAAAAAAAAAAAGAAAAAAAAAAACAGAAAACACAGAAACAAAAAATAAAGAAAAACGTCGAACTCTTCGTTACAATATTTATCATAAAATTAATCTAAATATATTTAGACTCTTGCGTATTTATCTTTGTCCACTGCTCATCCACTTTCGTTTCGACAAAACTATATGAACGATAATAAAAGTTGACAAACGAAATAATAGAATGAATAGCCGTTTCTACGAATGAGATACACGCAAGATGTATATACATAGATACATATTATTCAGGGATAACTTTATTTATCTATCTATCTCTATCTATCTCCTTCTCTTTGTATAATTAGCGTTTGTTTTCGTTGGATTATTCATTAAGCGACCGTGGCCCAACTTTAACTACGTTACACGCGTGCAATTGTGAAACGATCGCGATCATTTAATCGAATCGACTACTAATTATTATTCCTCGTTTCGAAAACGTTTGTTAAACAAACGTACGATCTGTTTAATTGACTAGACAGAGAGTAAGAGAGAGAGAGAGAGAGAGAGAGAGAGAGAGAGAGAAAGAGAGAAGGTGAAGAAAAATTATTGCAAAAGAAAAAGAAAAGAAAATTTTCTGTTGGTACTGCATTGTTCGTTCCCGTCTAACTAAGGGCATTAATGTTGCTTGCCAAAATCAATATAATCGATAGAGACGAATAAAGTAATGGATGAAATAACAAAAAAGATCAAGGACATCGTCGAATTTACATACGTTGAACGTATTTTGATTAAATTTATTTATTTTTTTTTTTTTCCTCTAAATTACGTCGATACTTTTATGAATCCTTGATGAACAAAAATGAAAAGAAAAGATCGACAATTTCCAAATTTTTTTCTATTTAAATAAGGTACTTGTTTAAGAAGCATCTTAATCAACTGTATCAAATAATTTCTTTCGATAGAAAATCTTGGAATTTATTTAAAATATGACAGAAATTCCTATCTTTATAAATCGAATCAATATAAA